TCGAAAGTATCTCTAAGATACTATCGCGATACATGTGTATCGCGATACTGCCCAGCTTTGGTCAAGAGTGCCATCTGACGGCACTCTTGAGGAGCGTTCAAGTGCCATCCGACAGCACTCCACTCGCGCCTTCAAGTAGTGATTCTGCAACTCAAGAAGATAGGGCGAGGGAGAGGAATGCCCGGGGAGGCAGGAAGCAGACGGAACACTAAAGAGAAGAGTGGGCGGAAACCTTCTCCTTTCTCCACCGTTTCGTCTGCTTCCTCCTCCCCGGCCTTCCTTTACCTCGCCCTACATTCTTGAGCTGCCCAGGTTCGAGTTGATCAAGTTCGAGATTGACCAAATTCTACTTTTTCGAACTTTTAACGTGATGTTCGTCAAAGGTTCACCTGAAGTTCAACTTTTGTAAACATGCCAAACATTTTTTTTTTTTTTTTTTTTTGCGGAGGAAAAGGGCAATATTTGTCGGGTGTATTCGCATCACTGGTTCACATTACTAACTAACGAAAACATTTTAAGTGGATATTATCGCTTTTATGTGGTGTAAACAGTGGTAACCGTTTTATAAATTATGAAATGAGCCAGTTTTGAAATTATTCGTTTCCCAAAATTCGAAATACTCGCGTAGAAGCCGAGCAACACTGTCCATAAGTCGACTTTCCACTGGTGATGGGGCTGAGCAGACTACTTCAGTGAAAATGGTGGTGAAAGAGGCAGAGAGGAAAATATGGAAAGAAAGAATGCAGGAGAAATCAGCTTTAACAGTGTACAGGTCACGAAAGCAGGACATAAGAAAGGAAAAACTGTTTGACAGTTCACTGGGAAGCGCTTTGCTGTTCGAGGCAAGAACGGGAGTTTTGAGGACAAGGATGTATAGGGCTAAATTTCAGGAGACAGACACATTATGTGCCACCTGCCATAATGATAGCGAGACACTAGAGCACTTGGTTTTGAAGTGCGTGGGGCTTCGCTCTGTCCTCCCTGAAGGGGTAACCGATTTGGCCGGGGCCCTGGGTTTCTCTGGCGACGATGGAAGGGCAGAAGAGAAAAGGATTACAGTGACAAAGAGACGATTAGAAGATTGGTGGAAATTGTCTAGGGAAAAATTACATGATGCACAACTAACTAGCACAGCTGGGGACAGGCGGGACAGAGGAAAATTGGGACTCCCTCCCGCGTGGTTCCGGCCCAAAGTCTTAGCCCTGTCTCCCAGTGGGTCCGGTGCTGGGGTATACCGCCGACAAGGTTTGACCAGAGGAAAGTCGGCGACTCCCTCGCCGGGGGGAAGAGGCGGGGGGGGGGATGCTTTTAGTTTTTTTGTGTTTTTTTTGCCCGATCCCCCGAAGGTCATCCTGGTGATATCCCACACTGTGGTGATAGTTAGGGGAAAAAAATTGGTCTTAAAAGGGCGGGAGGAATCATGTTTTTGTACTTTTAGACTTAGGCTAGGTGGCGCAAGCTACCGCCCGTTACAAAGGGTATAGCCATTAACGCCCATCTATCCATCCATTCTTCAAACTTTAGTTAAAGGTCGAAGGTTCGGCGTACCAGTCGAACTTTGAGGTTCAATGTCAAAATTGAAATTCGAAAAAAGTGCGCGACACTCCTAATTCTGACATGGTTCCATCAGCCGAACATTAGCGCGAGCGAGACACGCTACAGGAGTGAGCAGCATGATTTCTTATCCGGTTTATCCGATAAACTCCGAATTTTGGTTACTTGTGCAAGATGAAAAAAAAAAAAGAAGAAAATATAAGGCGGGTATTTTAAGTTTGATCAGTGCACAGGGTCAATTATCTTGAGAAAATACCATCCCGGTTTCCTTTAAAATCTCGGACCATCGACAAAAGGGATATTACCGATTTTATCTCGTCGAGGTTCATTAAAAAAAATCAGGTCATTAAACTTTCTGGCAATGAAAAAGGCCACTGTTCCGATTTCCAATTTGGGCCATGCTATTTGTGCTTTCTAGAGGAAGGAGGGGTTGCGTTTTTGTAACATTGACAGCTATGAACCGTAGAGATTTCATAGAAGGGGAAAGAGAGGGTGGGGAGTTGAAGCTTTTATATGGCACCCACTACACGCCGGGCAGTCGTGGGGCAGGTTGATGGATAAGATGGGATGAATACGAGCTTTCCAGTTTATCAAAGCAACACTCGTTAGCGACTCAAATCTAGCTGAAGAAATACTAATTAAAAAAAGCGCGTTCTTTTTTTTTTTTTTTTTTTTTTTTTTTTTTTTATAGAAAACTTTGCAGGATTTAGCTCAGAATTTCAGAGAATTGCGAACCGAACAAATGTAGATTCTGATAAACTCCAAACTCCGATAAACTTTGAATTTTCGGCAAAAAATAAACTCCGAAAACACAGAATCCTACAAATAACTAAGCTGCCTTTTGTTCTAGTATGACGAGATTTTAATGAACAAAAATTTGTTAAAATAACATAAAATTTTTATCCGCATTGTTTTCACTGATTGAAAGAATTGATCAAACAATATGCCGTGTTTAAAAATGCACATTGTGATAAATAAACAATGTTTTCTAGCTACCAACAACAAAGTAATCTGATTTAGATATAAGAAAAATCTGATTGATACAAATCTTTTCTTCTTTTTTAATTATGTCCTTTTTTTTCTTTTTACTTTGGTTATAACGGAGCGGCCTGATCCGAAATATGTGCACTGGGGGACATTGTCCATCGCGTGCGCGTTTCGGGATATCGGAGGCCATACATTGTCAACATGAACAAGTGATGGGCTAATTTGGAAAAGAGTCGGAGGAGTTTCCCTTGAACTCTTAGCCTGTAACAGCTCATTCGGGGCATAAACTTATGCGATAAAAGTTTGACGCAGCTGTCAACTGCTTCTCTAACTAAAAAAACGAAAAGTCGCTTCGCGCAGTTACGGTGTGCTACTGTGTTGCACAGTTACTACTGTGCAACACAGTAGTAACTGTGTTGCACAGTGTACTACTTGCGTCAGAGGCGCCTAAAGCCTTGATGGCACTACTGTTATTTAATGATAACGAACACTTTATATAAAAATTTAATTTGAGATGAGATTCCCTTTGTGTATGTGAAAAAACCAGTGAGCTTTTCTTCTGTAAACTTTTCTCCAGTAAGCTTTTCTCCGGGATGTGTGCTCATCGAACGCCCTTTCATCGAATCGCTTGGCGACATTTCATCGAATTTCACTTTACCTTATTTTGGAGCAATACTCTCACATCTGTCCTTGTTTTCACCCTGCTGTCGAATCGACAGAATTGCTAGCCTGGTTACTTTTCCAGAACATGTTTGGTTACCGAATCATAAAACATAACAAAACTGGAGTTAGTCCGCGACTTACTGTTTTCATGTAAGATAAGTGGCTGTACTCCACCAGATACTTTGTTCCCATTGTTCTAGCATGAAAGGTACATCCGGAAGGATGTACCTTTCATGCTAGAACACCCTTTTATTTTGTATTTATCTATTTACTTTTGTTTTCATTCTACCCTAGAAGAATAGCTTCCTTTCTAAGAACATAGGTTGAAAAGGTGGCCGTTTTACGGTTTTGCTAATTATATATATAAAAAAAAGACACGTTTTTTTTTTCGTTTCATGCGATATTATTGCTTCAAGGGCGCCTTCGTTCTTAAAACAAAGCACGTCTCTTCAAGAACAAGGATATAGCTTTGAAGGGACGTACCTTCGTAATTGTACCCGATGATCACAAGTTATCAGTTGCTGTAAAAAAAAAAGACAAAAATAAAAGAAATTGCAGGTGGAGCGGAGAAAATAAAGTCCCTTATTATTAGTTACCCTTTCTCTAGAAAAGTTGTGTGCTATCATTCCGGTGTAGTACAGGAAAAGTTTTTCCTAGATAAAAAAATTCCTACTGCTCAACCAAGCGGCATTCGATGAAACAGCGTTCGGTGAAACGGCTCCGATAAAACGGTATTCGATGAAATTTCCGGACCCACTCTTGTGTGTCGTATTGGTAGTGTGGCCGTTGTTTCAAAAGCAGGACCTTGTGACCTGTGGGCACTTCCCCAGAAACTGCACAACCCACTCTCACTAAGACTATGACATTGAGACAGGCAGTAGGTCTTCAACATAAACCGCAAAACCTCTAAAAAAATTAATGCCTGCACTAGACGTTCTGCTCCTGGGTCTTCTTTTTTCAACTTGAAAGTTTCTTTTTCTCTCACCACAGTCTCGTGGGTTACGCAGTATGATTATGAACAAGTAAAAGATCGCTGGTACGGTGCAATGGCGTCACGTGACAGCCATGTATATTTTCACAGATTATACGTGCTAGTTTAATTTCGTGATTAATTTCAATCTCGTGGACTGAGCTGTCCCCCGACCTGCTTATCCGGCATGGGCTTCTAGGTTTCATCCCTCGCAGCAGTCACCCCGTTGTACCAGAAAGATACCCGGAAGCTTGGCGTGGCATCAGAGTGACTAATAGGTCAGCCACCAGAGAATAACAGACATTTTGGGCTGTCTTGTGTTTTCTCTCACAAACGCCCCCCTCCCCCCCCCCCCCCCAAAAAAAAAAAAAAAAAGCAACAAAATAAAATATGAAGAAAGCACGCGTGTTTTCGTGACCTTGAAGACGTGTTTTGTTTGTTCCGATAACACCCAGGATCTAGCGGCCTATACTCCTTCGCCGCTAAGCTGATAGTGCGGCGCAGGCTACGCGCTCGTTGAACCACTCATACGCCTACATTTTGTCACGTGATCATGCTCTCCCGCCCGTACCATGTTCAGAAAGTAGGGAGAGGTGAGAGGCGGATGACTGGTCCGGCGGGCGCGTAGCAGCCACCGCAATATCAGCTTAGGGTTGAACGAAGTTCGAGTCTTATTTCAGACAAGCCGGCAACGTCCTCCCTCGCTCTAATTTTTGAAAGGTCAGGGGAAAGATCTTTCTCTCCTCTCTCTCTCTTTATTTCTTTGTGCTTCTCCCCACATTCTTGACCCTCTCAAATCCTTTATCATTTAGAGAAAAATCTTTGGACGACACGGTCAGAAAGGAATCCAGGACAATTTCTTCTCCCCTTTCCTCGGACATGAAGCTAACACTAGTCGTCACCGTCTCCATCTGCCTTTGTCTGCCGTGTCATGGGGACCCACCAAAGCCGTCGTCGGACGACTTCACACCGAGCTCGCCGCTGTCCATGCTGAGAAAGGCCATTTTCGGAACCCGTGCTGCGGAAGAGTTGTTCATCAGCCGTGTGGCCTCTGCAACCCAACGACTTGCCGCCGTCGTGAGTAATCCCGCGGTCACCAGGGCACTGCGAAGGTACTACGTCTCGCTGCTCCGCAGTCCTGATTTTAAGGGCCTCGTTAAGTCCATCGATGCCGGGGTCCCGGGCGGAAAAAAGCCGAACGCCACCCTGACCTCAAGCCAAAAGACGAGCGCATCTAAAAGTACGCGTGCTCCGACAAGACCGACATCGACAACGAGCACGCCTGCTCCGACAAGACCGATATCGACAACGAACACGCCTGCTACCAAGAAGATGACTAACGAGGTAAAAACTACGACATCGCAAACTGAGTACAAGTACTACTTCGACCCCGAGTTGGTAACCCTGCCAGGACGCTCGATTGCGGAAAGTACCGTTGCGTCGCTCGTCGGCACGCATAGGTACAAGCATTACTACGGTCCCAAGATGGCGTCGAAGCCGCAGAGTGACGTCCGCAACCATGTGGAAGACGGTGGACCGTTGGGGTTCAAGCACCATGAGAAGTTCCATAGGTCGCGACGGACGATCCACGTGCGGCACGTCGGAAGTTACATAGATGCGATCCGTTGGGACGACGTGGACAGCTGCGTCTCCTACCTCGTCTGCGAGATGTCCCGTGTCCCATGGCGCTACGGGTCCTTCGGAGTCAAGGTTGAACGTTTCTTTAGGTGGGTGTGACTTTTTTCTCTATTAGAATCGTGTCTGCTGTCCCGCGGAAGCGCATACTCTTGGTGTATGTTTAATGGTGCCCAGCGTGGCAGTGTTTGCTCATGCATAATATTGAAACACATATTTCTATCCCCTGAGTTGTTAGTTTCCTGGATCAGTACGTTTCGCAGCCCTATTAGCTGTGAGGTGAACGTGAAGATGCTGGCGAGTGTTTATTTGTGCTAGCTATGCTTGCACTGTACTACATGATTCCTCCCTCTCATATGCTCTTACACCAGCAGTAAGGGCTTGAAGGCAGTCAGGCTAGGCTGCCTCCACGTCCTGGCTTGCGAGGTGGTGCACGTATTTTTGGACCGAGCTCTAGTTTCTGCTTTATCTAATTCAAAATAAAAACGCAACCGTACTGGAAACGGCATCGACCCCATGGTCGTGGCATAGCCTCCTCTATACGGAGAAAGCCTGGCGCGTCGTGTGAAAAGACGGCCGCCGTAAATGGGAAAGGAGGGGCGGAGAAACGGGAGCGGAGAGGATGGATGGATGGATGAATACGGCTGAGCCCTTTGGATCGGGCGGTAGCTTACGCCACCTAGCCATTTTGTTTTACCATTTAAGCTTAGAATATTTAAATGTGAAATCTATATTCACTCCGCAGTGCAAAGAAAGTGAGGCTATGAAACCCTCTTGCCATCAGTGAATAAGAAAATACCTAGTTTTCTCTCGATTTCTGCCACCATTCACTTAATCTTTGCTTGGTAATCTCTACAGTCTTGAAATCCACTCTCCCTTCGCTGTCTCTAAAACCCAATGACTTTATTAAATCTATGTTGTCTTCGGTAGGCATAGGGTGAACCTTGTCCGCTAGCGCCGCAAAAGAGCAAGCGGCCAAACGCAGAAACAATCTTTTTTTTTTTTTTTTTCTTTTTTTGTTGCTATTGTGGAGAGGAGAAACTCAACGTCCACCCTTTCCCGTTTCTCCCTGCGCCCTTTCGAATCGCCGCGCCCGTTTCTCCCGGAGTACAAAAACGACGGTGACGAAAACACAAAAACAAGCGTGGTTCGGGGAGCGGCCGCTCATGACCCAAGCGCTCGCTGTCTAGGTCTGCCCTTTCTGCTCTGCGCTACCATATTGGTCACCGTTCGGCGCGCTCCTCCTCTCCTTTTTCCTGCGGCCGCGCTCTCTATGGCTCCGTCGTCGATGGTCGTGGGGTAGGCGAGAAAGCGGCAGCAATCGCTGGGGAGAGGGGACAAACAGGGGTTTGTCCGATTTTGCATTGCGCACGACAACTGGGCAACTATGGTTTAGGGAAGTCAACCGATACCAGGAAGGACATCCTGGTGTACGCTTTGGGGGCACAGAGGTCAATGGCTGTGCTTTACACTTTTTTTTTTCTTTTTCGGTGGTCGGAAATTTAGCATATCATAAAGGGCAGGATAAGAAAAGAAGTAGCGGGGCAAAGATCCTCTCGGGCACTGGTGCACGCCTACAAAGCCTGCTGCAATCGGGTAGGGCAAAGTACTTGCTACATGGCATCCGCAGCTTCCATATTTCCCGGGAATTGCATGTGAGTGGCAAGATACTGACCTCCTGTCGACGCAGGTACCCCGTCTGGGACTACGGATCCTCGGCGTCTCACTACGCCTCCATGGCACGCCACGGACGTCGGCTGGGCGGTTGCCGGGGACGCATCACCAGCTGCCGTCGACCCCTCGGACCCATGGTGCAAGAGGGCAACATGGTGGTTCATCGACGCGGCGGGTTCTGAACCTTCCAGCACTCGTCCACCTATCCCTTCACTAGTCTTCGACAAAAGTCGCCACAAGCGCTATAATAAAGAACGATGATGATTTAAATACCACGTGTGACAGGTCAGAGCGAAGCAGTATTCGCGTCTCCAGCATGCTGCTCGCCCTCGCGCGGCGGAAAGAGGAAGCGTCATTATGTTGTTCTTGTGGTGGGAATGATGTTAAAACAATTCATCACCTAAATATCCAAAACCCATTAAAAGGCCCGCAGTTTATTATTTCACATGACAATTATCTGAGTGAGAAAACTCAGCAAGAACGCACATATATGAGCACTGATTTTTTCTAACAAATACAATATTCTATATTTTCCCTAAGTTGTATGAAAGACAATGTCTTTAAAAGGACACTGAAAATATTATCAAGTGCCTGAATCGGACACGTATGTCACAAAATAAAGTTTCCGCGAACAATCTCTTTATAACAGTAAGAAAGCACAAAACAAACATCTCTCTTTAATCTCTTTAACTTTATTATTACGCTGTGAGTCACATCTTGAGTTATGAAATAATCCGAAATTCGCAAAAAGAAAAGAAGAGGTTAGCATCGGTTTTATTCATGAATTAAAACGTGCCTTTTGGCGTAAATATTACGCTAAACCCCGTTTTTGTTTCCAGGATAAAGAGGTGACCTGCAGCAAAGTGGAAATTTGGGCCAGTTGGTTCATAATCAAAATATTAAGCGCAAAAAAAAAAAAAAAACAAACAACGACAGGACAAAGAGGAGTAAACAAGAGCGCCTCGTCCTGTTTACTCTCCTCTTTATCCTGTCGTTTTTTTTTTTTTTTTTTTGGCGCTTTATATTTTGAGGTGACCTGCGTTCATAACACCCTAGCTTCCTCGCATAAGCAGAAATACTTCGCACTCGCTCAGTGAATCCAGCACATTAGACAGGCTCAGCAACTGGTATACCGGCAGGCATCTCCGATGGACGCCATATTTGTGGGTACTGTTAAGAGCGCATGCTCAGAGCGCGAGCTCACATCAGTAGGCTGCTAAGACCGGCACTCTTGATGGTGCGGAATGCACGTTACAAAAGAACTGTGGAAGCTCGCCATCAGCACGCGCTCAGCATTCGCGCACACAGCTATGGCCGCCAGTGAATACTCCCTATTGGCAACGTGAGCGAGCGAAAGCGTCGCGGTGGTCGGCCCATCACAATGGGCCGAATTCTAACTATTACGTCAGCAAAGGATGTCTCATCGACGGAAATGAGAGGAATGTAAGAACTTCAATTTCGACGGTGTTGGCAGTGTTGCTTTGAGAGTGCTATGATTTCAGGCTTCCACCATGCCCATTGCAAACACCGTCGAACTTGTTGTTCACAAGGTAATGACGTCACGAAAGGTAACCGAACGAGGGCGCCACCGAAACATCTCGCCATTAATAACCGGCATTTGGAAAACGAGACATTCGGGAGAACCACCTGGCGTTTTTTTCACCTGACTGGTGTCGCGTGCCACGGCTTGGTAGGGGAGGCCCGGTAGAGGAGTTTCTAGAGGAACTGTTGAGCTGCTCCAAAGCGCATCGGCAGAACGCTCTTCGGCTTTGTGTTTTTTTTTTTTTTTTATTACTGCCAGAACCGGTCAAGCACGAGAGCGCCACAATCCTGCGCTTTTTCCTTCTTTTTTTTTTTTTCTTTTTTTGCGTGACGGGTTTAGCCAGTAATAACACACCCAAAGAGAAGGACCGCTGTGACGATGCATTTTTGGCGGTGCTTGATTGATTCCGATAACGATACTCCGCCGCCGCCTTTGCGCATGCGTCGTATCCTTATCGGACGGAACGGTCTTTCTAATGTGAAACGGACCATATATCGGGTGCTTCTGCGAAGACCTTCATAATTTAGTAAAACTTGGGCTTTGTAGACAAACGGTCAACTACAACAAACGTCAAGAATTGCAAAAAAAAAAAAAAACGCACATTATTTGGCAAAATAATTACTTAAAACATATATTTTTTAGGCAGTGAAAATAAAGACGTGGACGTTCTATGAGCGTCATTTTAAAACTCATAAATCGGTCATTTTTGGGACTACTTGAAGCGCGGAGGTGCGCTGAAGTTTCCACTTGTGAAGCAGGCACAAGGACGTCGATACGAAAAATTCAGTTGATATTCCCGATTCGTTAATAAGGATTATTATTATTACATGCAGTGATTTGACTTGCGATTTCGCGAGTCCGGCGGTCAACACCGCAACTCCCACCACGTGTTTTTTTTTTGTTTTTTCTTTTTTGCACGAGCGACGTTACGACTCCAAAATCGCAAGTAAAGTCACTCCATGTGAATCTGGCTCTGCCCGTTTTTTATGCCGCGTTTTACCTTCGCGTGCGACGAGCTGCTATCAGAGGCAGGAAACTCGCGCTCGAAGCGGAGCATCTGCTCGGGATCACATCTTGGACAAGTCTTGTCAGCGAGTTCCAACCTTCCGCTGTGCTCTGGCACCGCGTGCGACGAAGCGCTATCGAAGGCAGACTGCGTTACACGGAACATGTACACCTAATTCTTAACCTGTAATCAACTGCAGATTGTGCTGATTCTACCTACAGTCGGGTGGAAAGGAGGTTTTCAGAGATGGGGTAGAGCCGCTGGTTTTGTTTTCAACAGTATTGACCTACAAGACCAAAAAAACAAACAATCTTTTTTTTTTTTTTTTTTTTTTTACCCTACGAAGATGTGCATTGTATTGTTCTTCAAACTTTCCCCGTTTAAAAAAATTTAATTTGCGATTATTATTTTTTGTAAAGTAAGAAATTAATTTTATAAAAAAATTAGTTTCGATATTTTCTTTTTAGAGGTTTGATTTAGGAACCGAAATTCAGGATTCCACAAAAAAAAAAAAACGGCAGCAAAAGCGTGCAACGGGATTCTACAAACACCAAAACCTCACTCATACAGCGATATCTTGAACGGATGACCGTATGTTTTTAAAATAAAAGGAGGCGCATTTGACAGAATTGTTTACGTCTTGTTTCTCCGAAAAGGAGAGGGAACGGCCTCGCGTCTTCTCCGCCTCGCCGCCTTGAGGGGGCGAAGAGAAGAGAGGAGGAAACGAGATATCTTGACGTCGCGCGCCTCGTCGGTCTCGTTCAATCTCGGCCTTGTTCAATCTCGACCTCTTTTCGCGAAAATACGGCCGTCCATTCGGAGATATCGCCTTACGAGTAGTGTTGTAGGGATTGTAGCGTCCCGCCTACAGTTCCTGCATTGTTTTCTGAAATCCGAATTTCGGTTCACCATCCGTTTAAATCGTAATCACCTTAATTTGTGCTGTCAACCTTGGCACCATCAGTTCTGTCGGTTCAAAATTGCACAACTCGCTTGTGAGTGGAAGGGTCTCCCTTCTACCACGTACCTAACACAACAGGACATGACATAAAATTCCAGACAACCATTTTATTTACAGTAACGATGGAAAAGACAATCGCCAGAACTTCCCATCAGACAAAGCACGCAAATCAATGGCGATTATAGTAAATATATCAACTTCAATTGCTATTCACACCGCCTTCGGTTATGTGCCCGCATATCCGAAAGTGCAGGAAAAAATATATATACCTCAATGCCTTTCGATACCAGGCTCGAGTACCACGACTGTAATTCAAAAACCACACTTTCCCTACCACTTCGCAAAAGCAGAATAGCGAGTGCCCGTATCACATCATCGCAAAAACCTTTTCAAGAACCGTTGAAAGCACATTGGGCGAGTGCTCGTGTAATGAAAGCACATTGCTCGAGCTTTATCACCTTTTCTTGCGTAGAAATAGCGCACTGCCCACATATCCTACGTAAACATAAGTAGTGTGAACGCTCTAGCAAGGTCGTTCGCAATGTCGTTCTCCGTAACGATCAATGTCACAACCTCTTAGTTTCGCTCAGAACCGATGATACATTTTCATATTGTTCGCAACTTCCGGACTGTCGGTTAGCCAGCCATTCTTGAGGGAGTCTTGTGCTGTCTGACTGTTCCCGGCACTGATATTCGGTAGCTATGGACGGATACTCGGAGTGGAAGATCAGCTGAAGTTGGTCGACAGCATGACGAGATCGACGACGCTCATCGGGCAGCTGTTGTACTTGATGCGGCAGCCTTCTCCGCCGTGCGTCCGTCCCGTCTCGTAGGCTCGGCTGTAGTCCGACGCAATCTCGGAGCCGCTCAGGTAAGAACCCACGTTCCTGCGTTTTTGCAAAAGGCGATACGAAGTTAGCTTGCGCTGCAGTTTGTGCTACCTGGCCGAATCTCGCACCGCCACTCAGTGTCGTCATAACCACGGCCGTTGGTCAGCGCCACAAGGCTCGATACCACTCACTGCGTCCGCTCTGAGAACGTTCGTTTCCCCCGGCGACAAAGGCCACTCGGTGCGGGCCGAGTGGCTTTTGTTGCCATTCCAACGAGCAGCCATCCCAAACCATAAAGGCATACCGACATCTATTTGCATAAACATTCGCAAAGTTCTATGTTGACACAAAGCTATACTCGTTGTCAGAGAGAAATCAGTGAAGCATTTGCCATGGGGACTGTCAACAACAATATTTCTGCACCTTCATTATCACTTGCAAAGACAGAGGTCGAATTCCTAATACCAGAAATGACTAGGCTGCTAATACCTCGACGTGACGCTAGTGATTTTTAAACTTCTAAATTTATAGTAATTACTTCCTTTTCCCCAATTTTCTCCTCCTTCACGTAAAAAAAGAAAAAAACAAAAGAAGATTTGGGCATTTTTTATGCGTTGCGCTAAGTAGCCCTTACACAATTTGGTTATCGGAGGAAGAAGCCATGCTTTTGGCGTTAGAAGCCCGTACGTCTTGATAAGATATATATCTACCCTAAAATGTATCTTAATTCTCCACAGAAAGGGGGGAATTAGTAATGCTCCGCAAAAGACCAGACCTTTTTTTTTTATTATTACTGCGGTTTTTGGGGTGAAAACGAGAATAACATTGAGCAGCCGTGCCAT